GGGGAAAGAAAGGTACAGTATATTGTTTGGGGAATTCCGAGGATGCTTATTAGATGCACTTGTGTAAATGCTTTCAGTGCCTTGTCTTCCTAAGCAAACTACTTGGGGTTTATGCTAGCCTAGTTTTAGGGTGATGCGATTTGCCTTGTACGCCCGTGAGAAGTTTGTTTCGTTTGTTCTAGGCGTGCAGGGAAAGTTCAGAAAGAAAAGTGTGCTCGCCTTCGGTTTCCTTAAGGGGACTGAAAAGGAAAGTTTTTGTCTGTGACAGAAAGAAATAAGGCCAACAGAGACGGGAAGAAATTAGGGATAAATATATAATTATTGAAATACAAATGGAAGCCATGTGGAGCCCATTTTCCACGGACAGAACGAAGCAGATGTAACTGGAGAGGTTTCTGCTATTGTCAACACTGCTGCATCCCTCCAGATGTTAAATTCTGCGCTTGGCCACGTGTGGCCGGATCCTTTGCGTGTCTATTCTGAAGCAAGTCGTATGGAGTTCAAGGAACCTTCCTCCCAAGTAAATTACGATTTGGCTAAGAGGGCGCTGGAAGTGTGAGAGTAGGAGTGGTCACCGTCTACAAATCTTTCCGTTAAGTGCTCTGATGGAAAGGGAAGCAGGGTGTAAGGTGCTGTATATAATGAATGAATAACTTGAGAGGAATTTTTCCAAGGTGTTCTTAAAAGTTTGTCCTGTTCATGGTTTGTTAAAGAGTTCTTCCATAGAAATAAAATGAGGTCGCCATGACAGAGCCTTCTCCAAGCATTCCCAGCAACATTAATAAACGGGTACGATTCGGGCTGAGTTAAGCCGATAGAAGTCTCCCTGACTTCATTGGGAGAGAGGAAAACACGCGCTGGTTCTCTCCCGCTGCAACCAAAGAGACTTGTGGTTAACTGTGGCTGGGCCTTTGGTACAAATTTTCAAGGCTGAGCAATGAATCAATTTACTCTTAAGCAATCTTAAGTCTATGACTGTTCCGGAGCAAGGGACGTGTAATTTCTTAAGAACCTATTTAGAAAAAGGTTCCAAGTATTGTGGAATATGTGCGTTTGAAATAAATTTAAATAAGCTCAGGTTGAATTCGGGGAATATATTAGATAGAAATGAGTATGAAACGTTCTTAGTTTTTCTGAAGATGAATCCCTTTGCTAAATAGTATCGTTGCAAAACCCTTTCCGCAAGATTGATTTGTGCAGTATCTGTCATTATAACTGATCGTTTAAGCGTATAACATCTATAATTAATACACAGCACAATGAAACTGAAGTTCCCTTAAATGACGTAAGCTCAGTTGGACAAGAAGAAATTTGTTTCTTCTTACTTTCTTTTATAAAGTAAGATCAGACCGAGAGATCGATGAAAAAACATTTGTGCTATGCCTTTGATATTTCTGAAGTTGTGCCCTGTCTTTAATTTAAAAAATGAGATTCTTCTCATGTTAGCACGCGTGATATATTACAGTGCTTAAGATATGCACATGTGTGTTCGTGTGTGATAAACTGTGGGTTGATACTGACGTGATGTATGTTTGAGATATTTTATTGCTCTTTCATTAACCGTCCGGTGTCCATAGGGGAGGAGATCCACTGGTGACCGAAGTATGATCTTAAATATATTAAACAAAAATTAGGCAAATTTATTTGGAAGGAATAAGGTTCAGCATAACGACGCTCACTTGTATTTTATTGCAATCACAGCCTTTTCACTAGATTGCTGCGGCTTAACTGACTTGTGGCCAAGTTTGCTTCAAAGATGGGTTCGCTAACACTCTTTGACGTAAAAATCCTGAAGGCCTTTGCGCCTGGTAGGAAAACCCTATTTTTGCAGCCAGACATACGGTCCTGAACATCTGTGTTGAGCAGACAGCCCTTTGGGAATCCGTGGGCCTTACATTCCACTAAGAACGCTCCGAGTGGCATCCGAGGCATGTCTCCTCTGGAGTCAGTCCTACTCAATTCAGTGGGACTCATTCGCGGATTAAGCCAGCATGGGATTTAGCAGCCTTTCTGATTGTCCCTGTCCATGCCTGTTTTGCCCAGAGTGACTATCGCGTGGTATAATAAATAAATAAATAAATAAATGAATGAATGAATGAATGAATGAATGAATATTAAACAAACAAACCCTTCCATCCATCCATTCATCCATCCCATGATTTTCAGTGGGACTTCCTTCCAGGTAAGGGTACCTAGGATTGTAGCATTAAAAGTTGGAGATTCGCTTGGGAAGGACTGTCGTTGGAAGATCTGTGGGGATGACTTCCAGTTATGGTCTGAAAACAAATCACGGCAATAGACAGACGTGGAAGTCTCGCTGGGATCAGTGGGAACTCCTTCTAAGTAAATTTGTTTAGAATTTATTTACTGTGACGTTCCTCGATAATGCAAAAGTTTAGGAAAGTTTAGGCTTATTAAAAAAAAAGAACGCCTCGAGATTTGTGTAGTTTATAGCTGGGACTGGCCAATGTGAACCTCCCCCCCCCCTCACCAGCCACAGCCTTCTGCACGGGGGCCTTCCCTATTCTCCGCCTCTTCCTCCTCCTCCTCCTCCGCTTCTCCCCAGTCACCACTTCATCTGACAGGCGTTGATGAGGATACCAAGACGTGTTGCACCAAAGCACCCGGGTATCTTGCAAAGTAACCCCTGGTATCACTTGTAACTAAAGAAGTGTAGTAATTAAAAGTCTGCGCTGTGATACGTGTGAGTGTGTATGTGCGCGCGGACCGGAGGGCGGGCACGCGCACGCGTTTCTCTCCACGTTTCCGCATGCAGTCCTAATTAAATCTTTACGATCCTCTCTGTGACTATTAACTGCCAGCATGCTGCGCGAATATCCTGTACAAAAAACCAGCAGGCGGCCGTAATTAGATCGAAAATCAGACAAGACTCTTCTCATTAACTACAACAGCTCAGCCACGTTG